ATGGTAGGCTCTAATGCATTGTAAGCATACGGCAGTGGCGGTAAGTCATGCTTCCTTCTAGCTTGAGTGATGAACAGTGCACTATGGCAGCTATTTCTTCCTAAAGATTGGCGAAGAACGTTGGCTAACATTTCGTTTGTTGTTTTTCACTCGCTTAGCTTTAGCTGCTTTTCCTGGCAAGAAAAGGTTCGGCGTATGTGATTTGTTGTGTAAGGCTGCTGGCTGTCATCTTTTACAGTACAGTACAGTACAGTTATGTACAGAACGTACGGTACATTATTTTACAATGGAAGTACACATACATACGGATTGACGGACGTGCTCCAGGCATACAGTGTACAGTGTACAGTACATTACTCCAAGTTTTTACACACAACTGTGTACTGTACATTGTACTGTACATGGACGTCTTCGCGGTCTGGTCCGGTTCGGACCTTGGTGAGTACAATACTCTTCTGTACAGTACTATAGAATAGAATTTAAAGATGGTAACTGGTACTGGTTAGCTGTTTCTGGAATGTCGTCACAATTCGTGACATGGACATTGGACATTCGGATATGGACGCACTAGTGGCTAGGCTACTGACTACATGGAGTAGACTGTAGTAAATGACTTTGTAAGTGAAATCCTATTAGTAAGTGAAATCCTATAGGCCGAAAATGTCCAAGTGACTTATTGGTATCAAGCCCTACGAATGTTGTATTGCTACGATAGTACTATATAGTACTATTGCTCTACTTATCCTCACCTTCGATGCTCTATTTCTATTCACTTATTCACTACTATTCATTTCAAAACATTGTTGATGTTCAATAACCGCTTTCAAGCAGAACTTACTATACTGCAGGATTCAATGAAATAATACTTAATTTCGAGGCTAAGTCATAAACAGAATGGAGCAATTCTATATACTGTATACTACAGTAGGTCTAGAACGAATAGAAAGTATTTGGAACACATTCCTTTTCAGACGAGATGAGTCTCCATGTCCAACTGTCCGAGGACCCATCGAGTCGATGGCCCAAGACAATAAAACTCTTTCTACAGTACAGTACAAATGTATGGTAAAGTACAGTACAGGACAGTCCAGCGCTAGCTATACTGTACTCTGGCTGCCTAGTGTACTATACGACGTCACTGTTCCATTCAAGCCAATACGGCCATATTCGCAGTAATGCCATTGGCATGAGATAGCACGTTGACCACCTTTTGTTGTTGGCCATGGGCCTTGTGCTTGTACCATGCCCAGTAGTAGTAGCGTACAAATGTGACAATCTTTCCGCGCTTTAACCTAACTTCAGTGCTAATTCTACTGTATGTACGGCGGTAATGGCTAACGCTTCTTCCGCCACCAACGGATCCGGCACTGCTAGCGGTCCGACCAATCCACCCAAGGTAATGTTGGCATAAATGGATTGAATATTCTATTTTTCCATTTGCTTACTGGTAGAACTGCAATGTTGACGATAAGGATGAAGGTTAACTCATCCATATCCAAAGTGATTATTTCCTTGTTGGTTGATATACCTGACTGTAGTCAATTCCTTTGTCGTTTGCATCAGGCCATCCACTGCATTGTTGTTTCACTATCAAGAGATAGAGACAGTGCTTGATTCATCCATATTCCAGGATAGATCTGTTCTGATGGTTGTATATTCTACAGCATGATGGACATCAACAGTTGGATACTATACTATCTTCTCTTGCTAATGATTTCTAGCATATCAATAACTTACGTATTGTTCTGCATCCTTTTCATTTTTCTCATACTATCTTATTTTATCGTAGCTAAAAGCAATCACATCTCTTGACAGTATGTGTATGTTATTAGAAAGAATCAGTGGAGTTGAAAGTAACGTTGTTTTAAAGAATGAAATGATTCACTTAATATGCCTATCCATTTCTAGTATAATGATCCTAGAAATCTGTTGTAATATCTTGTAATGGCAAAAAGGATAATTTGATTGGATGAAATTGACTCCTGTTAAATTGCTGGAAATATTAATCAGCACTGATATATTCATTAATTGCGGTTGTTGTTTCTTTGAATGAACTTATAGAAACCAGAATATGCGCTAAAGTATACACTATCTGGGCATACTAAGGCAATTTCATCAGTTAAATTTAGCCCTGATGGGGAATGGTTAGCCAGTTCGTGTAAGTAATAGGGAACAGAATTCAATTGAGATGAATACGTACTGCTTTGAATGCTTGGTAAGCATCGTACGTCATCATTCATGCTTAGTGGCTTCATGTTTATACTACCATCGGTGATGCTTGTACATGCGATACAAAATTAGCGATCACTGCATCTTCATTCAAATAATCGTACTGCAAAGATTCCAATAACATTTATAAATAGATTATTCATGAAAATAGTGAATACATTTTATATTTCCTTCGACGATATAGCTGCTGATGCTACCATTAAAGTCTGGGGTGCCTACGATGGCAAATACGAAAAGACCATGCAAGGACATAAATTAGTATGTTGAGATATTTTAAAAAGACTTTGAAGTGAATTTCATCAGTAAATCATGACAATACTATCCATGATGATGACTATGTCAAACGTGATGATTGCTGTGATTGACTCATACAGGGTATTTCAGATGTGGCCTGGTCATCAGATTCGAGATTACTTGTATCTGCTTCCGATGACAAGACGTAAAAATATGG